CCTTTCATACTTGAGGAAATCCCTTGGGTGAGCAGCTCTCTTGGGCCTCTCCTTGGCTGCACCCTCCTTAGCTCCACCGCGGACAGCACCACGCTTCCCTTGGGTTGTCCGCCTTGATGGAAGTGAAGGGGATGATGTTGGCTGCTGCACCTCCTCCCCGGCATCACCTCTCTCAGCTATAGGGGCCTCCTCTTGCTGCAAAACTCCTTCCACCTCTGTTGCCTCCCCTTCAGCACCTCCCAAGTCATGTGACACCTCCGTTACCTCTGAAGATGAAGACAAATCGATGGGAATGAAGAGTGGGTCATTCGTTCCCACCTCTATTCCGAGCGGAATGGTGACCTTGCTCCTCCCTCGCTCCAACCACTCCTTGAACATGAGCCCCTCCATGAACTTGGCATCTCTGGTGGTGAAGATGGTGTTGGCTTTTGGGTCCCACATGAGCCACCCCTTGCTCCCTTGTGCAAGTCCCAAATGAACAGCCCACACCGCCGTCGCTTGAAGCTTGTCACGCTTCTCCTTAGGGACGTGCACGAGTCCCATGCACCCAAAGACTCGAAGCATATCCACCAGGGGCTTCTTGCCTCTCCACGTCTCCATAGGGACCCAATGCTGCCCTCCCACATGAGTCAATACTCGGTTCTTGATGACGGTGGCATGGCGAATAGCGAGGGGCCAGAATCGTAAGGGTAGACCCGAGTCTACCAACATCGTTCTCCCGCCCTCCAAGATGGTCCGGTTCGCTCTCTCTGCCACGCCATTGGATTGAGGGGTGTAGGTCGTGGTGAGCTGCTGCTTGATGCCGTGCCGCTTCAGCCAGCTCCGGAACTCCACTCCCAAGAACTCCCCACCACGGTCACTACGAATCGCCTTCACCCGCTTGCCGCTCTCTCGCTCCACCATGGGCAGCCACTCTTCAATGATGATCCTTGCAGCATCACTCTTCTTTGCAAGTGGAAAGGACCAGGTGAGCCTTGTGTTGTCATCCACCATGGTCATGGAATACAGGGCCCCACCATCTCCCTTCACCTTCATGGGTCCCACGAGATCCACATGCACAAGCTCCACCGGGTCACTCGACTTCCCCTCCACCGAATGGAAGGGAAACCGTGAAAACTTGCTGGTCAAGCAAGTCTCACAAGATCCCACCTCCTTGGGCTCCCCCTTTATCCTCAGCCCCTGGACTCTTTCCTCCTTAAACAGCTGCTGCAACTGAGGTAAAGCCACGTGGCCAAAGCCACGGTGTGCGGTGAGCCAATCCGTCTCACCCGTGCTAGGAGTTACACTTGGAAGCGCAGCCCCTCCATGCCCAAGGAGCCCACCATCACTGTCATCACCACCCCCTCCATTGTCCACGTGGTTAACACGCCCTCCTCTCACATCTCCAGCAGCCAAGCGCGCAGCCGCCTCCTTCCATGGCAGCACCGGTATCTCCCACATGGACCGGTGCATGTCCTTGCCGCCTCGGAGGTCCCACAATACGCGCCCATCCAGAGTTGCCTTGAAAGCCTTTGTGCCCAACATCTCCATCTTCATCCCTACCTCACTTAGGGCCTTGGTAGAGAGGAGTTTGGCACACAATCCAGGAACAAGGAGAACACGCTTCAGCCCCACAAGCCTCCCATCCGCACCCATGAACATCGCTCTCCCCTCGCCACGCACGGGTACAACTTGGCCGGTGGCTGAAACGACGGTGGCTGCCTTTGATGGCCTAACTTCATCCAGTAGATCCTCTCGGTTGGTCATGGTCATGAAGGCTCCCGTGTAGATGACCCAATGGGAGGAGCGGTGAAGAGCAACCTTGCTGGCCGGCACAACCATGTCCTTGGAGCACGCCTCTCCTACATGGTAGAACATGCCGCCGTATCCGACAGCACCTCCATCGCCCTCCTCACTACCCACGCCTTCTCCCATATCTCCATGAACACCCTTGGAGCCCTCAAGTGATGGCTGACCAGGCCTCCAACCGTCAGGTAACTTGCGGCACTTAAACCATGGGTGACCTTCCACATGGCAATACCAACATTTGCCGCCACACCGCTTGCCTCCCTCGTTGCCACGCTTCCCTCCCGAATGCTGCTCCCCTCCAGAGCCTTCCTTGGCCTTCCATTTCTTGCTGCCACGCCCCTTGAAGCCCTTCATGCCATAGGCAGAGCCTCCACCTTCACCGGCAGCGGCGGTCAGCTCCTTCCTCCGAAACTCCTCTTGAAGAACTTGCGCGCGAATCCACTCAAGGGACCACGAGTCCTTCATGCCATTAAGGTTGACCACCAAGGGCCCCCACGACTCCGGCAGCAGGGAGAGAGCCTTGTAGCACTTGATTTTCTCAGGGTAGTCCACACCAGCAGCAGAGAGCTTCACATAAAGGTCCCGGAGTTGATCGAACGCTCCTTGCACGGCATCACCCTCGTTGATCTTTACCGCATGGAGTTGTCGCTCGAGCACCACCACCATAGCTTCGCTGCTGGGGGCATGGACATCCTTCAATATCTTCCATGCCTTTGGACCACACTCAAATTCCTTGATGAGATGCTTGATGTGGTGCAGCTGGTTGGATGAGAGGCATTGGGAGAGAAGGAAGAATCCATCCTTGGACCGGCGATCCCATTCCTTGGTCGCTCCTTCGCTCGCAGGCCTCTTCAATTCTCCATCCATCACTTCAAGCAGCCCATAATGGTTGAAGAGGAGCTCCATCCTGAAGCTCCATGATGTCCAATCAAACCCAGAGAACGTCTCCAGGTTGAATGCCTTCACATCATCCTTAGCTGATGTTGAAACGGAAGCCATTGGTGCAGATCCGCCTGCAACGCCTCTTCCCGCTTCCCCAGCGCCTCTCACGCCACCACTGCCACTAGGACCAGCTGGAGCAGAACCTTCAGCCTCCATATTAACCCACTAACAGAGTAGAACAGCTCTGATACCACTTGTTATGGTCTGCACTCCACTTAGAGGTCGCGGATGCCCATGAAACCCCCCAAGCAGAATCTGACGTCTTCAAACCGCCTCTGTTCAAAACGCCGTCACGATCAGCTCCAAACTCATACGAGGCTGCAACTTAGAAAGCGGTTAGCCTTAGGTGTCTGCTTTCTAACGGTATATTTTTTGCTATTATCGGAGGTGTGTGCACTACGAAATGAACGAAAACGTAAGCTCGGCTGAAAAACGTGTAGTTTCATTGATGCAAGGAAGAGGTGGGTACAACATTGCCTAGGGGACTCATAAGGAGTTGGGTCATCCTGGGAACTCAAAGAAGGTTGAGTCCTAGGGGAGAAAGGCTAGAGAAGAATGGAAAACCTCATAGCTAGGTCAGCAAAGCCAACCACACTTGGATGTTCAAAGCTGTACTCAAGGCTACCAATAGTGAGTCAAGCCAACATGAGTCAGCTTGTCTTCCCACTTGCACCCTCTTGCAAGCTGCTTCCAGGAAGACCACACTTCTCAAAAGGAGGGTTGTAGAGTCCCACTTGACCAACTGTACTTCTTGTCTCATTCTCTGTCCCTGCACCATTGGCATGACAACAATGAAAGGGTGGCAAGGGAAATGCTGCCAACAGTGCACCATAACTACGGAACAGTGAATTTCGGCAGCTGTCACGCAATGCTCAGATGTTGGATCATCGTTCTGAAACTTGGTGACCACCTGCACAGCGCGGCAAAGGACTGCCAGACTGAATTTCAGACCAATCAAATCTCGGTAGACGAGTCAGCAGCCGAAATGGTGAACTCGGGTGTTACCAAAAAGGAGTAACACACACTTCCGGGATGCCATAAGTCTTGAAACATAAAATGTTGTCATGCCTTGGTAACTGCTTTAAAAACTCTGAATCTTTGAGGGTTTGAATAACACATGTTGAACAACCTCCCCACAAAATTCCAGAAGCTGAGCAGGCTTGTAGGCCGAATGGGAGTGCGATGACCGTGCCACTATAATGTGCTGGCACAACATATATATAGCCTCGTGTTGTACCCAGGTGATCATTCAATTCAAACTCTCTTTTCTGAGCTCGATCCTAGATCCTCACAAGAAGTCTAACGATTGCAACGCGTACTTGCGCTGTGCTACAATATGTAGTAACACTCGAAGAGTGGTCATCTTCGGGGTGGGAGCAAAGGTCTGGAAGAACTCTACCCCCTCTTGCTGACTGAAGCCTTTCGCCACGTATCCTGCCTGAACACCGGTGGTGCTCTTGGCGGCCGCTTCACCTTGTAAAGCCACATGCCTCTGACAACGTTCGTCCCAGGTGGTTGGACAATGTCGACGTAGGTGCCTGTGGACCTATAAGATGCCATCTCTTTCTCCTCAGCTGCTGTCCAGTACGAAGCCCAGGGTCTTGAGATTGCCTCAGTATGATTGCGAGGGATCGGGAAGTCAAGGGCGTCTGGATCCCCCTCAAGGGCAAGGCGAAGAGATAAAAAACAGCGATCGCAAGGAAACCAAGCTCGAAGTGCCTGTCCTCAAGGACCTCTAGGGGAAAGACAGGAGGAGCGGAGGTCTAGAAGAAGTCTACCCCCTTTTGCTGACTACGTAGCACGCCTTGAACACCGGTGGTGTTCCATGCGGCCGTTTCACCTCGTAGAGCCACATGCCACTGACAACGCTTGTCCTAGGTAGTGGGACGGCGTCGATGTAGGTGCTTGTGGACCTATAAGATGCCATCTCTGCCTCCTCAACTGCTATCCAGTTCGAAGCCCAGGGTCCCGAGACCGCCTCAGCGTGATTGTGAGGGATCGGGCAGCCTAAGCTGCTGCTGGTTCTGGCGGCAGCCTAAGCTGCTGCTGGTGAGCTGGTGGCAGCCGAAGTTGGCGGACTGCAGGGTGTACGGGTAGGGGACGCGACGGGGCAGGCGGACGGGGTTGGCGGACGGGGCTGGCGGACGGGGACGTGACAGGGTTGGCATAAGGGGACGTGACGGGGCTGGCGTACCGAGACGCGATGGGGCTGGCATATGGGGATGCGACGGGGCTGGGGTATGGGGACGAGATGGGGCTGATGGACGAGGCTAGTGACGGGGCTGGTGTACGGAGCTGGCGGACTGCAGGGCGGCGAGGGGATGCGACGTGTAGGGGAAGGGGAGTCGACGAGGAGGGGACAAGACGGGGAGGTGATGAAGAGGGGAGACGACGGGGAGGTGACGGAGAGGGGACGTGATGGGGAGGCGATAGGGAGGGGATGCCACGGGGAGGCGACGGGGAGGGGACGGGACGGAGAGGCGATGGGGAAGGGACGCGACGGGGAGGCGACGGGGAAGGGACGAGACGAGGATGGCTGCGGGGTGATGGGGCTGCAGGGCGACTGGCTACCGGGGGGAGGGGGAAGTGCCTTATAACGCGCAATTTGGGAGCCCGCGGGGGCCTGCCTAGGTCGCGATGTGGGGGGATCTGCGAGGGTTCTTCTAACTCGCGATTCGGGGGCCCACAGGGGGCCTTCCTAAGTCGTAACGTGGGGGACTCGCGGGGGTCCTTCTAACTCGCGATTCAAAGACCCGCGGGGGTCTCTCTCTTGCGCGCGATATTCGATAGGGGGGGGGGGGGGGGGGGGTGGGCTGGCGCTAATGGGTGACGGGGCACTACGGGTAACGCATAACTAACGGGCGAGCGCGGTGCGGTGGGCCCATGGGAATCGAAGTGCTCTATACCATGTCAACGTAGTAACGGAATAATGAAAAGAGTAGAATCAAGCAGTACAATGAAGCATATGGCAAACCCTAAGGGGGTTATACCCTCTACAGCATCACTCAGTGTAACATCTAGACTAAACTAATGAACCATAACTATAGTCTGACACCCGGTGACAAGCAGAATTGGACAAGCACGGGCGGCTACGTGTTCGTCTATGGAGGGGCCATCGTCTCCTGGTTGAGCCAGTGCATCAAGTGAGCAACGTTGTTGTCGACCGAGTCAGAGTACGTGGCGGCCACCGATGCCTGCAAGGAGGGACGCCGACTGCTTTTCCTTCCTGCAGAGTTCTGGCTGCTGAACACCATGACGCCGACGGTCCTTCGGATGGACAACAAGTCGGCCTTCATGATCACCGAGGGCTTAGGGCTCCACGGCAACCTCAAGCATAGGGAGCGAAGATACGCCTGGCTGCAGCACATTGTGAAGAACAAGAAGTTCATACTGAGGTACATCCCGACCACCGAGCAGACTTCCTGACGAAGGCGCTACACTTTCGGCCTTTAACCTGTGTTCTGTCGCAATCGGCCAAGTGCGACTGGCCGGCGTCAATGACGGTGACAACGATGTACTGCAGTAGGTGCTATGCCCTCTTTCATGGCTGCTGCGGTGACGGCGTGCTATCTATTGTATGCACGCCGACGAGATTTTTTCCGAGTAGTGCTGCCACGAGGGGTGGAGGCCCAAGCGTGAACTCGGTAGGGGAGTGTCAAAGAGAGTTGGTTGTTTGCCCCGTCCTTGCGTGGGCGGAGCCAAATTCATAGTCGGTTATACGGGAGGTGCAGGCGACCTAAAACAGTGGGCGACGCCGACTTGAAGGGCTCTGACCTTGGGAGGTCGACTTGGGACGTAAACCTGGGAGGGCATTGACTTGGTGACCCCGACCTGGAGAAGCCGACTGAGTGCAGTCGGCCACCAGCAGGCCTGGTCGACCAGAAGTGGTCGACTTGGGAAAATGGCCAACTTCGTGAAGTCGGCAAGGGGTGGTCGTCTACCCGGGTGGTTGACGAGCACAAGGAGCAGCACTTGGTTGACGTGGTTGCAAGGTCGACCAAGTACTCGGGCGATGGGGATCTGAGGAGGTGCGTGACAGTAGCCCTGGCGCACCTGGCGAAGACGACCTCCGTGGTGGTCTTGAGGTCGACGTGGCGGATCAAGTGCAGTCATGGGCATGTGGCCGACTTGGCGTCTGCGCTGTGCACGTGACGGGGCATAGCACGCCAACCAGCTGCGAGCACCTGCCAAGTGAGTGCGCTGTTATTATGTGGGTGCAACGCTGTGCAACCGCCTTGCTACAGTGTTGGCACGCCGGCGACTTTCAGCATTGGCAGATTGCAACTTCTTGCTGGAGCGCGGTCGACCTGGCCGTGCTGAAACGCGGTCGAGTGTGCTGCGCTGGCAATCGACCAGCTTGCATACTAGGCAGACTTGCTTTGTCAAAATGCCAATGTTGTAGCTATCATTATTGTGAACTTTTGCTAGTGAAACTCGTGGCAATTCTCCCAGTGTATTGGGAAGTCGAGCAAACACGCAAGGAACGCTACGATTACTCTCTCAACCGTGCCTTCCCTGTAGTCTAGCTCTTGTTGCAGTAGTGGAAGTATATTATATACCATTATAATTGGTACAAAGTGTATGTGGGATGCTTACCTTTATGGTTGGTACTAAGTGTAAGAGGGTTACTTACCCTCATCGCTAGTAGTAGGTATAAGTGTGTTACTTACCCTTACTTCTGGTACAAAGTATATGTGTGTTTCCTACCCTTGTAGATGGTACTTATAGTAAGTGTACGTGTATTACTTACCCTTGTAATTGGTACCAAGTGTGTTGCTTACCCTTACGTAACTGTGCTACGTACCGTTGTACTTGATTCTAAGTGTAAGTGCGTTATTTATCCGTGTAGTTGATACTAGGAATAGATGCGTTGTTTACCCTTATGGCTGGTACTAAGTCAAAGAGCGTTATTTACAAAAATCGTTGGTACTAAGCGAAAGCGTGTTACTTACCCGCATATTTGCTGCATTTCTTACCCTTGTATTGTACGGAAGTTAGTTACCCCTATAGTTGGTACTAAGAGTAATCACTTACCCTTGTAGCAAGTGCTACGTGTAAGTGTGTTACTTCCCCTTAAAGTTGGTACTATGAATAAGTGCGTTACTTACCTATTTGGTTGGTAATATGTCGAAAAATCACCCACCTCCTCCTGCATCTCTCTTGGACCTCTCTCCTCACCCTTCCTTTCTCACTCTGCTTCCTTGCTCTCTCTGCCGTATATGCCTTGTGCTCCTGTCTCCCTTGTAATTCTCTTTGCCTTCTGCTCTCCCTTCCTTAGTGCTTTTCCAATCAATTCTCTTGTGATGTGCTCTCTGCTCCCTCACGCACATGGCTTCCTAGGTTCTTAGCATGCTTGAATCTTGCTCGTCATATCTCCCTAGCATCATTGTTTGCTCAAATTGTAGCAAAACGCTCGTGTAAAGAGGGAGAAATAGAAGTAATGACGGTTGAGTTCAAATAATCCCCTTATTCTACCAGCGTTTCCACCTCCGTCTCCCAATTCTCCACATCCTAGTCTACTCACTAGCGGCCAAGAATCTCAGCAAACAAACGTACATCCTTGCTGCACCCCACCACCTATTCCCCACCTAGTCTAATCACCTCTAGCTGCCACTACACAGATCCAGCTGGCTCTTTGGAGAATTTTGCACACACATGAAAACGAACACGCATGCATTCGAACACCCATCCGTTGCTTGCGGTGAGACTGCCTTCCTGCTATCGCTGCCTTGTTCTCTGCTGCTTCTCTTTGCCACCACCCTCTTGCTCACGTAAGTATCGTCCCACTTGTCAGTAGATCTGCACTGTGGATGCCCGATTGATCCTGGAGAGCGTTACAGGCGCGTTCGCCTGGGGGGTTATGGGCGCACTGACCCGCTACTGAAACAAGCCCTTTTATCCCAATGGTCTAGTGGTTGGGATTCTGACATGGTATCAGACCGGTCTCGGGTGCGATTCCCGGTGTATGCACATGTAGGTCGTTGCCGCTGTGCTTAGTCCTGGGCCTCTCATTGTGGGGGGGTGTCAGTAGATCTGCAGTGTGAATGCCTGATTGATCCTGGAGAGGGTTACAGGCGCGTTTGCCTGGGGGGTTATGGGCGCACTGACCCGCTACTGAAACAGGCCCTTTTATCCCGATGGTCTAGTGGTTGGGATTCTGACACCACTCTCTCCCATGCAGCCTTCCGACCCTCTAGGTCGGCAAGCGTTGGTACCCCACCCCTATCCCTCGCTTTATGAAACGCCATATGACCTTTTGGCTTCCATCGTCGAGCCTCGCTGATTCGCTATATACAGTATGTAAACTATTTACATCCCCCCTTAGCAACCTCCTTACCCTTTACACTCAGAGAAATATAACTACTACAAAGAAATGCCTTCTTTACCCTTACAGCTCGTACTAACTATAAATGTGTTACTTACCCTTGTAGTTGGTACTAAGTGTAAGTTCGTTCCTTACCTAAAAGGTGGTGTAACTGTGTTATTTACCCCTATGTTATTTACATCAACTATAAATGTGTTACTTACCCTTGTAGCTGGTACTAAGTGTAAGTTCGTTCCTTACCTGTATAACTATGTTATTAACCTAAGTGCGTTACTTATCAGCTTGGTTTGTACTAAGAGTAACTGCATTTAATCCCCTTGCAGTTGGTCCTAAGGACGTGGTTTATGTGGCAATCATTCTGGATCGTGATGAAACATCGTTCTAAACGGCTAAACCGTTCTAGCGGATTGATCGCCAAATCGATGTACACAACTAATGGAAATAGTCGTGAGAACTAGTTGTACCACACGCATGATCAGCTAGGATAGCCGTGTGCTCTGGTTTGATATGGTAGTTCACAGGCACGCTTACAAAGGTCGCATATACCCGGCAGCCACACATTCAAAGTCCGTGTTTCTTGCGAAATATCTTGCGCCTCGCGAACGCGATGGTCAATCCTCACTAGTAGCATCCGTTCGTGCGTTGCTGAGTCTCGGGAAATCAATGTGTCAAACTCATATGCTATAGTCTGTGTAGGCTGTAGTGGGGTAGACAATATGGGGTACAACACTTTTAGGTTTTCCTACTTGTACCCACCTACTAGCTAGTTCATTCATCCCTCATTTCTTCACATGGTATAGAGCAGGTTCCCTAGTGGGAACGCTTCTCAGGGCCCACCACTGAAATAGATTTTTTTTTCCTGACCCGAGCGCGAGTCACCCTTGCCCGAGGCGCGCCCCGTTGGCCGCCCTCACGTCGCCTCTCACGGCCCCTCGCGCCACCCTTTGCGGCCCCGTCGCCGCCCCTCTAGGCCCCTTGCGGCCCCTTCGCGGCCCCGTCGACGCCCCCTCTAGGCCCCACGCGGCCCCTACGCGGACCCGTCGCCGCCCCTAACGGCCCCGTTGCCGCCCTTTGAGGCCCCTCGCAGCCCCCTAACGGCCCCGTTGCCGCCCCTATCGGCCCCGTCGCCACCCCTAGCGGCCCCGTCGCCGCCCCTATCGGCCCAGTTGCCGCCCCTAGCAGCCCCGTCGCCCCTCCTAGCAGCCCCGTCGCCGCCCTTCGCGGCCCCGTCGCCGCCCTTAGCGGCCCCGTCGCCGCCCCTAGCGGCCCCGTCGCCGCCTCTAGCGGCCCCGTCGCCACCCTTGGCGGCCCCGTCGCCGCCTCTAGCGGCCCCGTCACCGCCTTCACGGCCCCTTCAGCTGCTCAGCAGCCGCACCGCCGAGCCGCCGAGCCGCACAGCCGCCGAGCCGCCCAGGAGCCGAGCCGCCTAATAGCCGAGCCGCCCAGCAGCCGAGCCGCCCAGCAGCCGAGCCGCCCAGTAGCCGAGCCGCCCAACAGCCAAGCCGCCCAGCAGCCGAGCCGCCCAGCAGCCGAGCCACCGAGCCGAACCACCGAGACGTC